TTGACAGTGTGGAATCAGGAAATAATCGATACGGGAGTATAACTTGTGAGCAGAAGAATAGAACGTATAGTCCAGTTCCCCGGAATGTAACAAACACCACACATCCACTAATTGCGCTTCGTGAATAGCACGCAATATCCTCTTACAAGCCCCAGAAGAGACTGAGAAGGTGCCTATGGAAGTATCCACAATTGGGTTTAGGGGGACATTAAAGTCGCCCCCAAGGTTCAGTTAGCCCTCTAAAAATTTAGGAAGTTTGGTGAGAGTGGTGCCGAGGAAGAGGTATTGACTATCATTTGGAGCATAGATAGTAGCAAATGTGATCTTAAGTCCACCAATCAAGTCTTTAATGAACAGAAAATGGCCATCAGCATCTATGAGGGTATGCAAGCATGTCCATGGTGTTCTGCTAGTTATGACTATGGATACCCCTTTCAATTTGGCAGAGCTTTTAGCAGTGTGGTACACCATGGGGTAAAATCTGTTCTTAAGCAGAGGAAGTTTGTCATCTCTGAAGTGTGTTTCCTGAATAAATGCTATATCCACTTCTAAGTGTTTCAAATCACGAAGAACTGCTTTTCAAGGGTGTTAAGCCCCTTAGCGTTGAGGGACACAATGCAAATAGCATCCATCACCCCCAATGGGCAAACAAAAAAGGGAAAAGGGGGGGTTTGAAAAATGGGGGAGCTGGCTAAGAAAGGAAAATATAATTAGGAAGGTCCCAAGGGGGTAGCTGCCTAAAAAAAAAATGGGTGAAGTATAAGGGGGGGGGGGAAGAAACCACCCCTTTCAAAAAAAAAAGAAAAAAGAGGGTGGTGGGGAGAAAGGGAAAAAGTACAAGAGCGCTCTCCAGCACTCTGCCGCTTGGGAGAGCATGGGCCTAGGTGGGGGAGCTATTAGAGATAGCCCAGGAAAGAGCCCCCGGCATCCCCAAGCCACCCTGGCAGACAAACCATCACAGCACAATATAATAGCACGTAACAGCCAATAATACAAAATAGAAATGGCAACCCTGTGAACATTGTAAGTTTTATTATCAGGATATCCAAGCTAAGATAATATCCTGTGTTGGAAGAGGAGTCTCCCCTAGGAAAAGCAACCAGCAGTAAGCTCAGCACAAGTAAAGGGACCCTACTGTTAATGTCCAACGTCTATGAGCAGGCCAAAACACTAGACAAATAGGCGGAATTGAAGCAGTGACAATTGTCCCTCACATATCGCCCCCGAAGTTGGGACTCGATTGAACTGGAAAGGGCCATGTTGCAGGCAATCATGTAGGGGTCCGTTAAGCATGGGACCAAGGGAACTTGACGTTAAGACTCACGTGTCCCGTCCCAAGCAATTCTCCAGAATCTGGGAGGGTGCGGTGGTAGGCCCTCGCGGTTCAAGTTAGGGCCCGAGCATCCCATCTGCCTAGGGAGTAGTTGAAGCCAATTGTGGACCGAGATGGGATCCATCTCCAGGATGCCAAAGAGGTCAAGCAAGTCCGCCGGTGTACGGAGGGCATAGGAAGCTGGTCCCTTGCGCACCGTGACCGAGAGCGGGAAACCCCATCTCTAGGTGTGTCCCAGTTGTCGTACCTTTTCCAGAAGAGGAAGGAGGAATGCCTAGTGTTTTAGTGTAGCCCTGGAGAAATCTGGGAGAATCTTAACTGAAGCTCCGTCAAAGTCCACAGGGCCAGATTCCCAAGCTTTGCGGATAATGACCTCCTTTTGGGTATAGTGATGCAGGCGGTAGATGACATTGCATGGCTTGTTCGGGTCAATACTCTGTCCAGGTTCTCAGGGGGAACCGTATCAAGCACCTTATACAAGATTGCCATGACCGTATCCGACAAGTTCTCTGTGCCAGTGGCTTCCAGGAGGCCTCGGAGCCGCCGCTTGTTGTGGGGGCTCCGGTCTTCCAGGTCCTCAAAGTGTAGTTGCAAAGCCACCACTGTAAAATATGAGTGTCCTGCATGTGTTCCAGATCTGCCACCTGTTGTTCCAGTACAGAAAGAGTGGTTTCCCCAGAGGTTAGGCGGTCAGACAGGGTTTGCACCTCTGACCGCACAGATCGTAGCTCCTTTTTGTGCGCCTCCTCCTGACAGGGAATAAGTGCCTCTCTCTGTCTGCTTTAGTATGGAGAGCCTGAATGAGCGCTTGGAGGTCATCATGCTCCCCAGAGGCAGGCGGTGATACTGGGGAGCCTGGAGAGCCTGTGGCACGGAGTGTGTTGGAGAGGCTGGAGGTGCTATGTGCATATCCTCTGCTCCTGGGTCACCACGTGGCTTTGCCATGATGCCTTTGGAAGCCCAGAAAGAAATGTTGAATCTTGGATTTATGCCTGGTCAGGCAAGGTGGTCTAGCCGGCCATGTCCAAACCACACCCCCTGGAGTTTATTTTTTATTATATATACGAAAAAGACAAAATTTTGTGAAAAAATATTTTCTACCTCGTTATAAAACATATCCTATAAAAAACTTTAAAAATCTAATTTCTTCATAACTTTAATCCAAAATGTATTCTGATACGTCTTCAGTAAAAAAAAAAAAAAGAAAAAATCTCAGCAAGTGTATATTAATTGGTTTGTGTGAAAGTTATAGAGCTGTGGATACAAGCTGGAAGGAGTACATGTAAGAGCAGGAGAATTTATTTTGAATTGTTCTTTGGTGGTAGGTTATGGCAATAGCAAGAAATTGCTTTTTTATTTATTTATTTTTTTACTATTTTGGGCCAGTTTTCCTTTGTTACTAAAAAAAAAAAATCAAGGTATAATCCATCTGGACACGCTAAGTAGTTGCATTGATAAGTACAGCTTTACTAACACATGTCAAAGTTTCAAAATTGTGTTCAGGCATTAGGATTTGCTTTACCCACATCATGAAGGGGTTAAAGCACAACTGAAGCCCAATTTTAAAATAGGACAAAGGCTTCTACACGCTTCAATCACCCAATATTATTCCTAACAGTGCTCATTTCTCCAAGCACTGGCCACAAATCCATGGTGACAGCACTACAGTGCAGCAATCAGGAGCACTCGTTCCTCAGTAGGACCGATGTATGGACACAGCAGCAATATTTTGCAGTACTGATTAGTTTATCCACATCAAAGTTATCTCTTGATTACATGTGCATTTAAAGTATATTAAAAGGTGGTACATCCCCTTTAAAGAGACTAATAAATTTGTCTCGAAAAAAAAGGATATAAACACCTCTCCCACTGCCCGCACCACAGGATGCTGATGTGATGAAAACACGTCAACCAAACATTTATTAGCTGATTTTAGTGGCAAAATGTCTTTACAGTGTGTGCCAGGGCAAAATATATTTTATATAAAAAACCTATGCAGTACATCTCTTAAATATATGCACATTTTTCCATGTATTATTCCTTTAACCATCTCAATATCAGACACTTTCACTCCACCGATTTTTCAGATTTCAGCGCTGTTGCACTTTGAATGAAATTTTTATCACTTATTTAAGACAGATAGAGCTTTCTTTTGGTGGTATTTATTTACTATTGGGATTTAAAATTTTCGCTATATAAAACAAAAAATACCGCAAATTTAGTAAACAAAAATGTTTTTTTTTTTTTGTTTCTGTTATAAAAGTTTGCAAACAAATAGTCTTTCTTCATAAATTTAGGCCAAAATATATTCTGCTACATTTCTTTGGTAAAAGTAACTCAAATCAGTATACACTCGCCAGCCACTTTATTAGGTACACCTGTTCAGTTGCTTGGTAACACAAATTGCTAATCATCCAATCACATGGCAGCAACTCAATGCATTTAGGCGTCTAGACGTGGTGAAGATGACTTGCTGAAGTTCAAACTCAGCATCAGAATAGGGAAGAAAGGAGATTTAAGTAACTTTGATTGTGGCATGGTTGTTGGTGCCAGGCGGGCTGGTCTGAGTATTTAAAAAACTGCTGATCTACTGGGATTTTCACGCACAACCATCTCTAGGGTTTGCAGAGAATGGTCCGAAAAAGAGAAAATATCCAGTGAGTGGCAGTTGTGTGAACGAAAATGCCTTGTTGATGTCCGAGATCAGAGGAGAATGGGCAGAATGATTTGAGATGATAGAAAGGCAACCGTAACTCAACTAATCACTCGTTACAACCAAGGTATGCAGAATACCACATTGAACCTTGAAGCAGATGGGCTAGAGCAGCAGAAGATCACACCGGGTAGCAAGGTGTACCTAATAAAGTGCTGGTGAGTGTACATTATTTAGTCTGTGTGAAAATTATAGAGTCTACAAACTATGGTATACAATATATAGTTAAAAATTGAGACCCTAAAATGCCAGGATGGTACAAATACCCCCCAAATTACCCCTTCGCGAAAGTAGACAGACCAAGGTATTTAGTAAGAGGTACGGCAAGTTTTTTTAAATTGTGATTTTTTTTGTCACAATTTTTTGAAAAATGAAGAAATTAAATAGAAGCCATGGTTTTTTTTTCAGTTTTGTTTTTACATATTGTCACCAGAGCAAAACAATGTCATCATATGTTTGGTGACAGGTATGTAGAAAAATATATTTTTTAATGTTTTTACCATTTATTTTCTTTAACCACTTGCCTACCAGGCACTTATACCCCCTTATCTACCAGGCCAATTTTCAGCTTTCAGCGCTGCCGCACTTTGATTGACAATTGCGCGGTCATGCAACATTGTACCCATATGAAATTTTGATCATTTTTTTTCCTCACAAATAGAGCTTTCTTTTGGTGGTATTTAATTGCCACTGGGCGCTTTACTTTTTGCGCTATAAATAAAAAAATTGCAAAAAATTTGAAAAAAAAAACAAAGTTTCTTTGTTTCTATTATAAAATTTTTCAAACAGGTATTTTTTTCTCCTTCACTGATGTGCGTTGATGAGGCAGCACTGATGGGCACTGATAGGCAGTACTAATGAGGTGGCACGGATAAGCGACACTAATATGCAGCACTGATAGGCGGCAATGATAGGTGACACTGATGATGGGTACTGATAGACAGCACTGACTGGCATCACTGCTGGGCACTGACTGGCGGCACTGACTGGCACAACCCCTGGGCACTGACTGGTGGCACTGACTGGCAGCACTGCTGGGCTGCACTGGTGGGCAGCACTGGTGGGTGGGCACAGGTGGGTGGCACTGGTGGGCACAGGTGTGTGGGCACAGGTGGATGGCACTGCTGGGCACAGGTAGGTGGCACTTCTGGGCACAGGTGTGTGACACTGCAGAGTGGCACAGGTGGGTGCACTGCTGGGCACAGGTGGGTGATCTGCTGGGCACAGGTGGGCAGAGCTAGTGGGCGCACTGCTGGGCACAGGTGGGCGGAACTTGCGGGTGGCACTGCTGGGCACCGATCATCAGGGCACTGATCATCAGTGCCCTGATGATCGGTGCCGATCCCCGCTCTGACAACTGCCGGTTTTCGGCAGTACTTTCCTCACGATCTGACAGCGTGAGGAAAGTGCAGCCGAGAACCGGCACTTGCATTTCCCTCTGATCAGCGTGTCATTGGACACCGCTGATCACGTGGTAAAAGGCCGCTGTGATTGGCCTTTTACCACATCACGTGATCAGCTGTGTCCGTAGGACACAGCGATCACGGAGATCGCCGGGTGCGCGCCCCCTGGGGCGCGCAGGAGAGCGCGTTCTGGGAGGACGTCATATGACGTCCACTCAGAACTGGCCGGCCGCAGTGCAGCCGTCATTCGGCTATCTGCGGTCGGCAACTAGTTAATTAATTTTATTTTTTTTTTACATACTGTAACCAGAGCAGTACAGTGTCACCATAGTGACACTGAACTGCTCTGGGGGGAGTGGGGTGATCAGTTTTGTTTTTCTCTATGATTGCTTATTACAGTGATGGTCTAATCGCTGTTATAAGCAATCTTTTTTATGAATGGCATTCATTAATGTGCCATTGTGTACTATTGTGAAAGTTCTTGGCTACAGCTATCACATGGTACAGGTCCACTGTGACTGGCTTCTGTACCACGTGATCACTGTGACCAATCACAGAGATCACAATAGTACACAGTGGGGTTGATTTACTAAAAGTAAATATACTGTGCACTGCAAGTGTAGTTGCTTTAGATCTGAGCGGAAGCTCTGCTGATTTCTTTCATCCAATAATGTGCAAGCAAAAACGCTGTTTTTTTTATTTTCCTTGCATGTGATTGGGTGTTCTTTGCAAAGTGAAACTTTCCCTCCTTTACTAAGTTTTGGAGCAAGTGCACAGTATATTTGACTTTAGTAAATTAACCCCAATGAATGGCTATGAATTGAAGCCTCTGTGTACTATTTACAGTGACAAGGCACGCTCCTAGAGGATGTCATATGACGTCCACCCAGATTTAGGGAGCTCCAGTCCAGCTGTTTACAATAGGCCAGATGGGAATTTGTGAAAGACCCTGCATATTCAGAAAAATGCCTGATAATGTGCCAGAAATGCACTCAGATCCTAAATACTTTAGGCTGACAACACATAGCACTTCTATGGACTGAGTGGTGTCAGCCCTGCTCAATTTCTTTTTGTCAAACTAATCAGACTCTTCCACCCTCTCATCTCCACCACACAGATGCTAATATTTTTGTAGTCTAAAATAAGAATTTGGGGATCTAATTAGGCGACTTTAGATAATAAAGGAAAAGTGCACTGAGCTGACAACATGCAGCATTGTTGTAATGAGAGGTGTCAACCCTGCCTAACTGTCTTTTGTTTAAACTATTCAAACCCAGATCTTACCTCCTTTCCATAGCATGGCTAATGCACTGTAGCCTAATCATGCTTTAGAACAAGTCAAGAAATGGGAGGGCTAATTAGGCCCTTTGAGAGTAAGAGCTCATTTATACATAGAACTGGAGGTCAGTAAAAGCCATAAAAGCCCCCCCCCGACCACCCACTTGTACGAGGAGTTTCAGCTGTTCACATACCAAAGCCACAATACTTTGCTTAGTGGCCATGGGAAACATTAACTGTCACAATCAGTGAGCAGTACTGTCACATTCAATGGTATACTTAACACATAAAAAGTAAATAAATAAGAGAAGGTAATTTTCGGGGTGTACATACATTTTAGGCCCCCGTGTTGTATTAGAATGGTACCTCTAATAGTAGAATTTGTATTGTAAGCTAAAACGTTTATTTATTCCAAGCACTGAAGATTCAGCCACTCATCCTCCAAACCGGACAAAGCAGACTCTTGGCAAAAATGTATTCTTAATCAACATAATTGTAGCTATTACTAAGCTAATCAAAGAAAGATTTGTTGTGATGATAGCCAGAATCCACAGGTTTATATTGATCTCTTCTCCATCACAAGAAAAATAGAAAAAAAAAAAGAAAACAAGAGTATTTGCTAACATGAAAGTAGCTTTAGAAAATGTTCCTTCTCTGTTTTCTCAAATATAGTTGAAGCTTATCTGCAGCCAAAATTTGTATTTAGATTACTGGATAAGTGGCATAACACTCCCACTGCAATATAAAGACTCTTTTCACACTAGTAGTAGTTACCAGCTCTCTGAAAAGCGAACACCGGTGGATTGCTTTTTGGAGAGCAGTGAAAAGAGGTTCTGCTGCCACCTGATATATATTTTTTTGGGGGCTTTTTTTGTTTTATTGCTCTATGGCAATTTTTGCATTATGGGAATGCACTGCAACTATGAGTCAAGCATTGGGTACAGTCCCATTCACTAGCATCAGCGTTTGGCAGTGTAAAGGAAATTTGTAAATTTTGTATAAAATTGTATTCTATTTTGTATGCTTTGCCTATGTATTGCACACTACACTCATTGTGCACACAGCACTAATAATGTTTTTATAATGTTTGCATTCCTTCAAGTCCAGATCAGAATTTAGCCTGCCTATGTAATGTCCCTTGTTAGCATAAAAGTGCAATTGTAATATTAACTCCTTTGAGCCCTTTAAGAGTTTCAGAAGTCGGGAGGCGGGCGGGGTTTTAGGGTCATGTGACCGCCGTGATTTGCTGATACGGCGGTCACATGATCGGAAAAGGTCCCGACTGCAAGGGGAGATCGGGACCTTTCCGTGAGTCATGGACATATGTGCTGGGAGCGCACAGAGCGTGAGCTCTCAGCACATATGTATTTTCTAACGGCTCGGAGTCAAGACCCAGACGCCAAGAGGCCGCATATTTGCGTGCGCTCGGCATCTAGGGGTTAATGTGATAACTACTTAACCATGTGTATAAAAACACTTCAAATATGCCGAATAAACAGAATAGTTATTTGGAAAGATGCTGAGTGTATCTTTTTGTGTCCGTTCCCTACTGTAGTAGTTATTAATTTGGAACCACTAATCAATATTGCCTATCTATAAAATTATCAGTATTAATGTTCAGAACACATGGCGAGTTTTGCCTAGGAGAGGATCTACAGGTGACCTTGAAAATCTGAAACGAGGAGCCTGGGACGATCTAGGAATTTCTGATTTCAGGAGGCTGAGGTAAGCCCTTTGCTTACATTTTGAGATATCAGACTTCCTTGATCGGTAAGGCATTTTTCCGACAAAGGGTACCTATTTTACTCCCCTTAATTGAACTGTATTGATTGGTGGTTATATATTATGTTGTCACTGGCTACTGTCCATCTGAGTGTTATAGATAAGAAAAAGAAGAATAGTGTTGTTTAACAGGTTATATTACGTACACATCTGCTGTAATAGTAGATCTAGATCTAGAGGATATAGGCACAGGTACAGAAGAGGAGAGAAAATACTGTCCAGTCATTATGGGCATTAAATTAAAGTAAATAAGTAAAGTAAGGGAATGGAAGGTAAAAGGATATCCTCAGAAAATGCCCAGTACGAGAGAATATATGAACCAAAGGTGCGGTTCCGCCTATACTAATCCCCTAGATCAGGGTTTCTCAACTAGGGTTCCTCCAGAGGTTGCTTGGGGTTCCTTCAGCAATGTGCATTATCCACCTCTCAGATAAGTTCCCGCTGACACCATTTATATTTTTAGCTATCTATAAGGGGGCAATTCTCAATGACCACAAGTGTAAGGAACATTCTTCCCACTGACCACTACACAAATGTATCATGAGCTGTAGATACAGTAATTTATAGCAGGGGTTCCCTGAGACAAAAAAGTAATTTTAAGGGTTCCTCTGTGTTGGAAAGGTTGAGAAAGGCTGCCATAGATAAATGGTTAAAGTGGACAAGGATCCACAATGGGTAACAGGGTTACCAAGTCCACAGGGACTAAGAATCATGCAGATTAAACAGCTAGAGGAACAGCTATCTACAGTATTTGAGCAGGATGGATGAAGAGTGACAGACAATGTAACATTAGACATAATGGGAAATGTTGATGTTAAGTTGTGGAATTAATTTAGAATAAGGCACCACAACTAGTGCATTCTAAAACATGAGAAAAAGTCAAAACAGAGAAATGAGAGTCAAATTATATAGAAATAATATATTTCTTGGCCCTGGCCCAAACAGAATACTTTATATGTGGTCAGAGAAGGAAAATGGGATGAGCACTATGGCTTCCCCATTTGATCATATGATCTAGAGCAGCCTTTCTCAACCAGGGTGCCCAGGCACCCTGGGGAGCCTTGAGGTTTCACCAGGGGTGCCTTGGCAAAATGTCTAAAAATTTCCCAAAACTTCTACACAAGCTAGCGGGTGGAACAATTCTGCCTTTTAATTACACAAAGTCACAGGTTTTCATTGTGCACCACTACGACCTTCTAGCTGTTCGTGTCCTGACAACAAATGACATCATCGGGTGATAAGGAGGATGTCAGCTGCCTGCAGAGCATCCTGGTTTGACCCTCCCCTTCCCCTCTCCGTCAGTGCTGGGGTCACATTAGCTCAGTGATGGAGAAAAACTGAGGGAGAAGAGAAACACCAAATTACTAGTCGGTACCAGCGTGCAAAAGTGTATTTGCTTTGGAAGAATAAATCACCTCTAATGTTGGGTGTCCTACGTGTGTGGATGTTGCTGCATTATATAAAACTATTAGAATAGTTTTTCACATTTTAGAATGGGGTGCCTCAAGACTGACCATAATTTTAAAGGGTGCCTCGGGACTGTCCATAATTTTAAAGGGTGCCTCAAGACTGTCCATAATTTTAAAGGGTGCCTGGGGACTGTCCATAATTTTAAAGGATGCCTCAAGACTGTCCATAATTTTAAAGGGTACCTCAGGACTGTCCATAATTTCAAAGGGTGCCTGGGGACTGTCCATAATTTTAAAGGGTGCCTTGACTGAAAAAAGGTTGAGAAACACTGATCTGGAGCAAGTTAAGTACGGGATTACAGTACATGGAAGTAAGGGATATAAGAGAACAAAATAAGGAAAACTAACTTAAGCAGGAACATTTTCAAGAGAGTTAGAAAAAAGTGAGAGAATGTTATGCATGTGTTGTGTATTGGAAAAATGGGGAAAATGTAAGCAATTTTAGACAGATAGTCATGTACGAATGGGTGTGCTGGGCCTTTTGATACTTTGTGTGTCTTGTAGGTCTGTGCATATTTCTCCCTTCCCTCCTTTTCTTTTTTCCATGAGAAGAATGTACCGGGATGAGACATGGCAAGGACACAACCATTGATCTGACTACGAGTTTTCATAACATTATGTGCCGGCTTAATTAATTTGATACTATGATCACAGTATTAATGGTAAAATGAAGGTTACATTTAAAAGTGCATATAGTACAGTGGGGCAAAAAAGTATTTAGTCAGCCACCAATTGTGCAAGTTCTCCCACTTAAAAAGATGAGAGAGGCCCGTAATTGGCATCATAGGTAGACCTCAACTATGAGAGTCAAAATGAGAAAAAAAATCCAGACAATCACATTGGCTGATTTGGAAAGAATTTATTTGCAAATTATGGTGGAAAATAAGTATTTGGTCACCTACAAACAAGCAAGATTTCTGGCTCTCACAGACCTGTACCTTCTTCTTTAAGAGGCTCCTCTGTCCTGCACTCATTACCTGTATCAATGGCACCTGTTTGAGGTTGTGGACAGGTGTCTTTTACACTGATAACAAGTTCAAACAGTCACACTCCAAACTCCACTATGGCGAAGGACACCAGAAACAAAATTGTAGACCTGCATCAGGCTGGGAAGACTGAATCTGCAATAGGCAAGCAGCTTGGTGTAAACAAATCAACTGTGGGAGCAATAATTAGAAAATGGAAGACATACAAGACCACTGATAATCTCCCTCGATCTGGGGCTCCACGCAAGATCTCACCCCGTGGGGTCAAAATGATCACAAGACCGGTGAGCAAAAATCCCAGGACCACACGGGGGGACCTAGTGAATGACCTGCAGAGAGCTGGGACCAACGTAACAAAGGCTACCATCAGTAACACACTACGCCTCCAGGGACTCAGATCCTGCAGTGCCAGACGTGTCCCCCTGCTTAAGCCAGTACATGTCCGGGCCCGTCTGAAGTTTGCTAGAGAGCATTTGGATGATCCAGAAGAGGATTGGGAGAATGTCATATGGTCAGATGAAACCAAAATAGAACTGTTTGGTAGAAACACAACTTGTTGTGTTTGGAGGAGAGAGAATGCTGAGTTGCATCCAAAGAACACCATACCTACTGTGATGCATGGGGGTGGCAACATCATGCTTTGGGGCTGTTTCTCCGCAAAGGGACCAGGACGACTGATCCATGTACAGGACAGAATGAATGGGGCCATGTATCGTGAGATTTTGAGTGCAAACCTCCTTCCATCAGCAAGGGCATTGAAGATGAAACGTGGCTGGGTCTTCCAACATGACAATGATCCCAAACATACCGCCCGGGCAACGAAGGAGTGGCTTCGTAAGAAGCATTTCAAGGTCCTGGAGTGGCCTAGCCAGTCTCCAGATCTCAACCCCATAGAAAACCTTTGGAGGGAGTTGAAAGTCTGTGTTGCCCATCGACAGCCCCAAAACATCACTGCTCTAGAAGAGATCTGCATGGAGGAATGGGCCAACATACCAGCAACAGTGTGTGCCAACCTTGTGAAGACTTACAGGAAACGTTTGACCTCTGTCATTGCCAACAAAGGATATATACCAAAGTATTGAGATGAACTTTTGATATTGACCAAATACTTATTTTTTCACCATAATTTGCAAATAAATTCTTTCCAAATCAGCTAATGTGATTGTCTGGATTTTTTTTCGCATTTTGTCTCTCATAGTTGAGGTCTACCTATGATGCCAATTACAGGCCTCTCTCATCTTTTTAAGTGGGAGAACTTGCACAATTGGTGTCTGACTAAATACTTTTTTGCCCCACTGTATGTATAAAATAACACAAATTAAACATCCTTTGATAGTGGAAACGGTGTATTTAAAAAAGGGAAATGAGGTAAAGCGTTCCCCATTATAGAGATGTATCTATGTAACTGAAATTTGGGTGTGATATTGGGATTATCACTCATGTATTCATTTCTGATATGATGTTAACACTTCTATTAATGATATAGATATATTTTAATTTGTTTAGACAACCTTTGGTTGGAAATAGAATATATGTTATTGGGAAAATCTGTAGGTATTATTATTGTTGTATGGGATTTGTGTGGTGTCAACAGTTTGCACGGTGCTTTGCAATATGGGGGGGAGACAGTACAGTTACAATACAATAAAAAATGGGAGCATTAAGAGGGCCCTGCTCATAAGAGCTTACAATCTAATAGGGTGGATATGGGGTTACTTAGGATTGACATGAGGTGGTTATATTGCAGCTGTCTTAATACCGAACAGAGCCTAGATGGATGGGATACATGAGAACTTTGTCTATAAAAATGGAATCTAAAGGTCTTATAGTAACTTGATGTGCAGTGCATGATGTGAGAGTAATAAAAAAAATTACAGACTCACCTCACCAAGCCCACACACCCTGTTAGTATAGATGCAACCTACAGCCGGCTGTTTTATAGTTTTTTTGATCTGGCTGTTGATTTTTCTGTTCTTTCATATACAGATTGTTGGTACTTTTTTGTTTTATTTATTTTAACCACTTGCCAACTGGACACTTTTACCCCCTTTCTTCCCAGACCAATTTTCAGCTTTCAGTACTCTCATAATCTAAATGACAATTGCGCAGTAATGCAACACTGTACCCAAACTAAATGTTTATCTTTTTTTAGACCAATAGAACTTTCTTTTGGTGGTATTTGACCACCACTGGGGTTTTCATTTTTTGCTAAGCAAACTGAAAAAGACCAAAAATTAAAAAAAAAAAAAAGTTCCTATTCTCTGTTATAAAGTTTTGTGAATAACTTTTCTGCTTCACTGATGAGCACTGATGAGGAGTCACTGATAGGCTGCACTGATGGGCACTGATGAGGCTGCACTGATAGGTGGCACTGATGGGCATTGTTAGGTGGAACTGATGAGCAGCACTGATGGGCACTGTTAGGTGACACTGATGAGCACTGTTAGGTGACACTGATGGGCATTGATAGGCGGCACTGATGAGCGTTGTTAGGCAGCACTGATGGGCACTGTTAGATGGCAATCATGGGCACTGTTGGGTGGCACTGATAGGCAGCACATGAGGAGAGGTGTCAGGGCTCCAGGTATGACCAGAGGTGTGTGGACCGACACAGGGAAACACAGACTTCAGGTATAGCGTGTAAAACAATATAATTTATTAAGGGCAACACAAACATAAACGCAGTGCAACAAACCAAACCCAAAACTAACACAAATACGTACAACAAGGTGCAACAAACCCAAACCTTAACTGATATATATATATATACTATGGAGCAAAACGTAGTTAGGCGGGCTGGGTCCGTAGCTAACGGGCAGACAAGGGGTAGGCAGAAGATTGGTCAGGAGTAGCTGAGGTTGGTGCAGGCAGAGTTCAAGCAGAGTCAGGATAAAGCAGAGTCAGGATCAGGCAGGAAGGATGCAGGTACAGGGGCTCATGGGAACAATACACCAAGGCCCTGACTGCAGGCCTGGCCATTCCTTAAATACACCTCCTGCAATCAGCCTCAGGTGATGGCTTGATTGCAGGAGTGAGCTTCTGGCTGCTGAGAGCACCTGCTGGCCAGCCCTGGTACTGCAGCCCACAAGGCAGGTGAGTCCCACCACCATTGGCGAGTCCATTCCTGACAAGAGGACTGCCGATAACCAGCATTTCCTATTTACCCAGTAATCAGCTGCGATTGGACGCAGCTGGTCACATGGTAAAAGCAGGTGTGATAGGCACCTGAAGGACACAGTGATCACAGATCACAAGCAGTGTGCACCCCAGGATGCACGGCCATGGATGCCCTCCCAGAACTAGCCAACCACGCTGTAGCCGTATTTTGGCTATAGAACGGTCGGGAACTGGTTAATTTTTTAATCCAAAGCAAAATGTGTGGATTGTGAAATGATGTGTCTCTTTTCCTTGTAAATACGGTGGTAAGCTGAAAAAAACTTTGGATTGAAGGACATCTCTGCATGACCACATGTTGTTATAATATATTATGTTGTGACATCAGGAAAATATGTAAGACGGAAACTAAGAACTCGTGTTTCCTAGCTAAAACTAACAACAGGGCAAGCAAAGAGAAATTATAATATTGCCAGGAAAAGGTTGTCTTTTTAGAACATGAAACTGGAGTTCTTACATGAAGAGCATGATAGGAAAAAACAAGCCATTGAGATATACTTCATGCAAACTGGACCTAGTATTGACGGGTTCACCCGGCTATATCAGAGCAGTAGCTGTATGTAAGGTGCTACTAGACAAAGGTACAGACTTTATTTTTGGTCACTTATTCAACTTTAAAATTGACAGAGCTATATAAGTACCTGAAATAAATAAATAAATAAAGTGAAATCAAACCTGGAGTTATAGACTCTAAGGCAAAAATAACTCATTAAACCATTCAGTCCATTGTCAGCCATAGAAGGAGGGGGGGGTTTGAATAATGTTTTAAAAGAAAGTTTAGCTTTAAATGTCAATAGGCGGTCATTGCACGAAAAGAAACATTTACAGGGAAAATCTAATTTATAGGAAATAGCTTATTAAAGTGTCAAAGAATTCCTTTTTTTTCTCATGTTATCATCCACATCCTTTACTTCCTCAAGTCCCAGTGATTGCACACCAGGGCAAAACTCTGCAACAGAAGTAATTAAAAGATTCAAAGCTGTGCCTGGAACTAATCATGATCATTCTGAAATATATAGCAACGCTGATAAAGGGGAGGAAAACCTTGATTGTGATTGAAATGTTGTTGGCACTGGAAGATAG